TTAGGACTGTTTTGGACTATTTGTCCCTTTTGAGCCATGCTTTGTATAGCTATAGTGCAAGTGTCTTCACTAGCTTTGTGTTTTAAGGCCTCTCACATGTTGTGCATGTGATGGTTGCGTGTTGTAGTATCATTTTACATGTGATTTCAGTATGTATAGCTTTGTCACACTCTCACTTACCTCACTCTTTCATTGTTTTTGAGAGTTGTGTTTTGAGTCTAGCTTGCGAGCCAACACATGAGTATGTTTTTATAGCTTTTTGTGCTTTAATTCCAGCATGATTTAGCCACTGATTTGGCATGTTTAAGCTCTATCCAGAGTTGGTTTGGTCCTTTAAGCTTGATATTGCATGCCTCTAGTGTAGTGCTCTTCACTAGTTTAATGCTTTTAGCTTTTGAGCATGTCTTGCATGTGTTGCTTGCATGTTGTAGCACTATTTTTCATGCCATTTCAGCACTAAAAAAGGTCTGCAATCTCCCTCATTTCTTCATTTTTCCATTTGTTTTGAGGGTTGGTTAAGCTTAAGGTTGTGTTCAAGCTTGAGATTAAGACTTATGCTCAATGGTTTTAACCTTCTTTTGAGGGTTTCTACTAACCAAAGGCATGATCTCTCTCATGTCATAAACCATCCTTTGGTTGACCCCTCTCTAATTAGAGGACAATCACTTTGGACTTAATCGGTTAAAGAATTAATCAGTAATGTAAAATGTGTAAACAAAATGAATCAAGTAAAACATGAACAAGATAAGCATATTTTGTTGCATTGCATGTGTTTGGATCAAACGTTAATCCAAACACAAGAAATATGAGACGTTTCATACTCAAAGTGATGAAATGTGTCGCGTTTCTTGGTCGCCATTACCCTTGATCATGCATGATAGGGTGGTGGCCCTTTGAGTCTTATGTGTGCATTTATTAAGCTTGTACAAGCTTGATTCTTTCGCCATCATGCATTGAAAATGCTTGGTTGGTGGCTTGAGAGCCCAGTGCCGCACTCCTTTGAGCTTGAGACATGATAAGGAGGGTGGTAGTACACATCTCTTGCAAAATACATTGCTTTGCCTCTGTTGCTCTCTGTTGCAGCAAGAACAGAAGTCTGGAAAAAGCAGTGGCCGACTGGCCAATGAAGTAGCCAACCGGCCACTTAAACTAGCCGACCGGCCAGTTAAGGTGGCCGATAGCCATCTTCTGTGGCCGACCGGCCATCAATGAAAAGTTTGTTCAGTATGTTCCTGAGGTGGGGCAGAAGTGTTCTAGAAGTTGGTGCAATGTTCAGAGATCAAAGCAAAGTGAAAACAGAGGCAGCTGATGGGAAGGCGGTGGATTTTCGGGAGGAAACTAACCGAACATGCATGTCTTTCTCGCCCGCAAGGCCGCTTTATTGCTTTAATAGCTAGTTTTAGTTGATTATTACATGTGTTGTAATTAATCATTTAATTTGTTTTGTAATATTTTAATTAGCTTAGCATAGCTAGTTATTCAATTGTATTGTAATTAATTAGCTAGAATAGTTAATTAATTTCGTTTTGTAATAATTAGCTTAGCTTATTCTTTCGGACCCTCCTTCGCGAGGGCACAATGTTGTAATGAGCAAACGTGCGTGCGTGTGTGCATGTCTTCCAACCCCACTTCTTTCTCTTTTTTATTTATTTGCTTTTGATGGTTAGATTAGGGACATGTTTTGACTAGCATACCTTATGCTCGCATGCGTGCATTTATTCATTTGTTTTGCATGCACTGGGCTCGGCTCATCATTCAAACTGCATTGTATTTCAATACCTATTTGAATACGTGTTTCAAAGCATGTTATCGAATTGTTACATTCATATGCCATCTTAGATAGCCGAGTCTATTAGTTGCATTATTGCATGTGTTGCATTAGGCATTTTAACATAGTTAAGATCATGCATTCTTTCTAACTAGCTTTTTGTTTTGGCTTGGAGTACATTGTAAGTTTTTACGCTTTAGCATACTTGCATGAATGTGAGTGTTGCCATGATAGCATGCTTGCCATGAGGCTATGTGCTTACTAGATTAATTGCATGAATGTCTGTGGATGAAGGCTTTGATTGCTTGAATTGGGACAATTCGATAAATGTGCGTTTTAAGCTCACTTTGCGAAGTGACAAATCATGTTTTAAGCCCATCATGTTTGGTGGCAAATTCGCATTTTAGCCCACTTGAGAGTAGCATTTTCAAACCATTTTCAAAAACAAACATGAGTTGATTTGTTCCAATTCTCGCAATTTTAGTCTATACTTACTTGTGTGCGTCACATAGTAAAGTTAGCTAATAATCGGAATAAGAACACGTGTTTATAAAACAACATATCATGCTTAGTAGAGGCCGACCTTCTGATCGGGCGAGCGGGGGTGCACATTTCAGGATCTTTCCTTTTCGTACCTAAGTTGCCATGCTGAGGCAACTTTGGTGATGACAGACATATGGCCTTTGGCACGAGTCAAGGTTTCCTAAATTTTTCCAAAATAAAATATTTAGGTGACGACTCTGTAATCTGGCAAAACAGTCCATTTTTGGCGCTTTTTGATTCAAAATCAATTTTCCAAAACGATTTGCCGGATTTCGACTTGTTGGTGTTTATTAGTCTCACATTGCACTTTGTGAGATTAGATTCAGAACCATGACAGGAGAACTGTAGGACCAATTCGAGCTCTCCGAAAGGGGGCGCGAAGAAAGTCGGGTCTACAATACCAAGCTCTATAAATTGTAATATCTTCTTGAATGGTGAATGATTTTTCTCTCTTCATTTTTTATGAACCTTCTATACTGATTGTGTGAAAACTTTGTATGAAAAACAAATATATATATATATATATATATAGATTGAAGAGAATGTGTATATCAATTGAGATTGATTTTTTAGTTTTATAGAGAGTAAAAAATATGACCGTTTTTTTTATCTGTTTAAATTATAGCAGTTGCAAACTAGTTGTTTCAAACATTTCTCAATTGGAGGAAAAAAGAGCCGTTGCTTAATTTGTGAATTCCAATAACAAAAGAACATTGTTGGATTAAACAATCCAACGGTTCAGATTGTTACTTCTCTCTCTCTCTCTCTCTCTCTCTCTCTCTCTCAATTCTAGAACTTACTCCCACCTCTGCTTTCTCTCTACCCAACACTCTATCTCTCTTTAGCTCTCCAACGATTGCATTCTTCCTCTCTCATTCACCACAGATTGCACTCACCGCCGGAACCACCACCACACCCATTGTCGATCTTAAACCCCTAAATCTTAAACCCCAACCCCCTTTCTCTCTTCTCTAACCCTCTTCTTCCTCGGTCTCTCACCTTCTTTATCACCATAACCACCACCACAATCACAACAACCACCAAAGTCGAACCCCCCTTCTCTCGATCTCCGACCCTCTTCTGTCTCTCCGTTCCAAACCGTCGATCTCCATTGATCAGAACCCTAACCCTAACCAAAATGATCCTCTCTCCTTCTTCGATTTATATCTTCCTTTGTTCTACAAAAGAACATTGTTGGATTAAACAATCCAACGGTTCAGATTGTTACTTCTCTCTCTCTCTCTCTCAATTCTAGAACTTACTCCCACCTCTGCTTTCTCTCTCTACCCAACACTCTATCTCTCTTTAGCTCTCCAACGATTGCATTCTTCCTCTCTCACTCACCACAGATTGCACTCACCGCCGGAACCACCACCACACCCATTGTCGATCTTAAACCCTTAAATCTTAAACCCCAACCCCCTTTCTCTCTTCTCTAACCCTCTTCTTCCTCGGTCTCTCACCTTCTTTATCACCATAACCACCACCACAATCACAACAACCACCAAAGTCGAACCCCCCTTCTCTCGATCTCCGACCCTCTTCTGTCTCTCCGTTCCAAACCGTCGATCTCCATTGATCAGAACCCTAACCCTAACCAAAATGATCCTCTCTCCTTCTTCGATTTATATCTTCCTTTGTTCTAACCCTTGTTCTAACCCTTGATTTTGACGGTCCCTCTTTGTCGGTGATAATCCAAACCCGACGCTGTAATGACGACCCCTTCTTCAATGATCCCTTTGTCAGTGATGATCCAAACCCAAAACCCAATTAAAGACTATCCAAAGAACATGAAGAAGATCAACCCTTTGTGTCAAGCATTTTTTGTAATTCTAAAATAGTTGTTCAATTTATTTATTTATTAGATTTTGTTTTGCTCGAAATTGTTGAAATTAAAATTGTGCTAAAATTTTGCTTGAAATTGAAATTGCTCAGCATGTGTTTGCTTCTGAAATTTTGCTTATATATTTATTTTTTGGTGAATTTTGGATGAATTTTGCTTGTGTGTTTATGTTGGATGATGAGAAATGAGGCAGTGTGCTTATGTTGGATGATGAGAAATAAGGCAGAGAGGAAAGAAACAGTTGGTTGAAGTTGACTTGGCATTTGCCAAAGCTTGTTTCATGTTTGACACTTGACATTTGCTAAAGATAGCAACTACCAAAACTTACCATTGGAGGTGACTTTCTATAAACTGCTACTATAATTTGACAATATTGGAGATGCTCCAAGATCATCACAAATGACTATTGCTACTTCTAACCTCTTCCTAGTGGATTCATTTTTTTTAACCGCTTAACATTTAGTAACCATATATCATAGCAAGTCTTACAATCGAATTGTTTTTACATCAACTTAATAAGAATCCTATAATTTCCCGACACTTCTGATAAATTAATCTATTTCATAAATCCTATGCCCTTGTCAATCTCTCCAATAATCACTCTTAGGTATCACCAATCAAGTTTTACTCTACATTCTTAAATGTTTTTTTACTTTCACTATTGTTAACACTATATATATATATATTCCAGTCTTAATCCTACTTAATCTTTACATGTTATCCTAAAATCTATCATCCTGATAGTGATTGTAAGGTGATTTGTTTTGCTCAAAAGCCATTGCAATCAAAACTCAGCTTTGGCATCACCAAAGTGCCACATGAGATTATCTCGAATTACACAGGTGCTCAAGTAAAAAAAATGGCTATACAAACTAACAAATCTTACAAATTTTTCTTAATAATTTGATTACTGCATACAAACTACAAATTTCATATACATATCATTGGAATATAGAGGGCTACAGAACATACACCAAAAATGAAAGTTCCAATATCCCATGGCTTGGCAATATATATATTCCCCAATCCCCAATGACCCTTTACATTTCAAAGGCCATTACACCATGAACAATAAAATAATTACCTTGGCTTCTCCTATCCTCATAAGTATACAATTGAGAATTTGTTCTGATTTTTTTTTTTTTTTTTTAGAAACTAGTCTGATGAAAACAAACAATAAAAACATATATATTTAAAATTTTAAAAATTATTCCCTTCCCCCCAAAAGAGAAAACCATATGAAAATAAGAAGTAATTTTTATTTTTTCGTTTGTCACAAAACAAGTTTTTTTATTTTTATTTTTATTCCAAAAAAAAAAAAAAAAGATTTTGAAAACTCAACCGATTCAATGTCTGAATGCCATGTTTGGATAGATGAGATATGAAAATCAAACTGCCATGTTTGACAGCACATGAACCTCAGATGTTTCTAGGCTCAACAAACACCGACATTGTTCTCGAGGGAACTGTAAAACTCCCAGTCAACGCTCCATATGTAGAGTTCTTCACAAATTCATCAGTTGACATAGCCTGCACCAAGGATCGCACAGAAAAACCAAAATTATTTAATTCAAAATGTGTCATTTGACAAAGGCTATATGATTATTATGTGCATGATAATTTGTGGGCAGCCTCAGAAGTAATTTTCAGATGATCACAGTACTTCTCATTGGCCTAGATCAACTGCACATTACACTCCATTTGACAGTAGGTTATACCCTGGATGGGGACCCCCCCGTATGATGATTTTGTTTGGCAACAGCTAAAAGCCATTTGTTTTTCCTGAACTTTATTTTTTTTTTTGGAAGTGAACTTTTTTTAACTTATCAAATCCATCTAAGTCTAAGAGGATCCAAAGAGTACATTTTTTTAAAGATAAATTTGAAAAACATTCACTAAAGACAAAAATAAATAAATAAAAAAGTTTCGTTTTTTGGTCTTCAGTGGAATTTTTTCAGTTTTTATCCATTTATTTACTTTAAACCTTTTAGGTCCATCTAGTCTATTAAGACCTAAAAGTGATTTTTTTTTTTTTTTTTTCATTTAAAAAAAAAAAAGTCAACAAAAAAACTGCTAAAAAAGCTTGTCAAACGCACTCTGAATCTGAAGTAGTTAATCAACAACCAAAATGGCAGTTATGGAAGTTATCTTCTGACACAGGCCATTCATGCTTTCTTCCAAAATTAGTTCAGATGTAAATTTTGTATATTTTTAATATCAGACTAGATTATATATAAAACATAGAAATTATAAATGTAAATATCAAATGGAAGCCACCTGGCTAAATGTTTTTCCAGTTAATACTAAAGAGAAACAGAATACCTGTATGGGGTGCAGCTCAAAAGTTCTCGCCTGTAGTGCGGGGTTGGCAAATGAGACAGCAGTTGCGCAGACATTGACTATAACAACAACGTATGAGTAGCTGTTGGAAACAAAGCAATAGAAGTATCATTACGTCATATGATTAGCATTGGTGTACCTCCAAAAAGAAAAGGAAAAGAAAAATTGCATATACTTCATGTTTACTCACATGGGATCCAGTTGAGATAACCCAGGGACACCTTCATGACCATCTTCAATGCTCATCACTATGACACCGGGGACCCATGAGGGACCAGTGTTATGGAATCGTACGCGTTGCTAGACAAAAATGTGATTACATGACTTCAGAACTTTGAATGTTATTGGTTTGTATTTAGCTGCTTGACTCTAGTTGTACTCCTTAACAAATTTAAAGCTGCGATTATCAATTTCTAAAAGTTTAAAAGAGAAGAGAAAAGGAAGAGACAAGGATATAATCACTCGAGGTAAATATAAAACATATCAGTTTAAAATCACACTACGGGTGGTAGGACGCACACCATTGTCTCCCCCTTCAAGCCATTTCCAAACTTATAAGGCTAAATTTCTCTATGTTTTGACTCATAATGGCCCTGAAAATTACCTCCAAAATTCAATTTGTTAGTTGCTATGGTATGACCTCTTGGCAACCTCTAGGAAATTATCACAATTTCAAAATACTCACGCTCCACCCTGAGATCTCAATATTTACAGCAATATGCCACTGCAGTATTTACAACAATGCCACTAGCCCATGCTAGTGTGCCAACAAGCACCATAGCATGCACAACCCCTCCACCTTTGTGCCAAACCCGCAAATGGCAACTCAATGTCACATAAAAGGGAAGATCAAATGTAGGTATTACTAAAAAATAAATTAAGTTACTTTCTTATAAACAATATTCAATTCCATCTACACCAAAAAACAGTTTCTTATTAACTATAAAGTGTAATAATAGCTGTTCTAACCTGGATGGCATTTGCTGTCCTCAATCGGAAAAGTGGTGAAGAGTACCTAATTTGTAACACATTCAAAAAATTCTCTACAGCAGCAAGAATGTGACTACTCTGAGGCTTGAAGGATGGATCTGCTAATCTTGGTTTAATTCTGGAGAAGTAAACAACACCTTCAAGCTTATTATAGATATTATATATAAAACTGGATGCTTATAGAGCAAGGGGTAATCCACGAAAAAGAATTGTATGCATAGAAAAATAAAACTCCAAAAGAGGTTTGGGTGTAACCTATATAAATCCATAGTTAAAAAGGAAATAACTGAATGCTTACAGGGGCCAGTTCTTTTCATTTTTTTCTTTTGGTGGAAGGCCGACGCCCCAATTGTTAGATTTGTAGCTGAAGTCTAACCTGAAAACAAAACATCTAAACAATAAGTTGAGCTGATGGAAACATGCTACAACTTGGACTAAAGTCATCTGCATTATGAGACCATAAATCAAAAGTAACCATTTATGATCATAAATTTAACCAAAATATGATTCGGTTGTATCATCTCAGGGAGTTGGAAAAATGTTTCAAGCAGAGCAGATAACAATTCTGGAAAGATAACAATTGTAAGCAACTAGAATTCACTTATAATTGCAGACCTGTTAAACCAATCACCAGAATTATATGAATCCCGGTCTAGTGACTTCGAGCGCAAGATCTCATCACCAGAATGAAAAAAAGGTATTCCCTACAAATAGAAAAAATATTTAATGATGAATCAAGAAATACAACAAATAACATCTTATTGGAAATTTTTTGCTGAACTTTGTGAATTATTCTATGCATCTGACTCATTTTGATGAATTTCCATGCCCAAAGAATTGGCTCTCCCCAATGAAGTATGAAATCCGTGGTACAAAATACAACAGACTCAAAGGTTCTGTAAAATGTGTTGAAGACTTGCATAGGAATAGGATCGATGCAAATGTTACAACTGATATACAGCTAACATCTACAAAGACATACATGATAAAGCTCTTTGTATTACCCAAAAAAAAAAAAAAAACCCTCTGTTTTGTGCACTCTGACTGGAAATTTATTTTTCAAAACCTAAGCTAACAGAAGACCTGTTGTTACATAAGCAGCACAATTCAAGTAACAATAATTCAGCATGCTTGCAGACAGATCAGATTTAACTTCCTTTGCAACGAGTTTGACTGGAACAGAGCCAATATTATTACTTCAAGTATCATAAGAATTTGACCTAGTAAATTCATTTAGTCCAGGATAATCGTCCAATATTAATTTAAAGATATTAAAAATTCAGTTAGTAGGTTGGGTCATATGAATTATTTAACAGGATAGCCCAGACCATTTCTTGGAATCCAAGCATAACTAGACCTACTTAGTTGTAAACCAATGACAGCTCAACAATTCAAAGATCTTGCAGCACTATTAAAATAACCATGAATGAGATTCGCTAGGGCCAACAAAATGGAAGATCTTATGGAAAATTCATCTACGAGGAAAAAGTTACACCCAACAAATATACAACCAAAAGTTCAAAAATCCATATAGAATGTTATTGCTTGAAAAGCGCGTGATGGATAAAACAGTAGAGAAAATACTATTATTCAACAACTATGGAGTACCTGTGAAAGTCCGATTATACTTGTTGCCAAATGATTTAATCTGCATCTCTCATCTACAGAAATTTCCATTGGAGTCTATAGCAGTGCAGGGGGCCCAAGTTAGACTAGAAGATAAATGTATGACTCAGGTAATTTAACATATTTTAAGAGAAAAATAGACTATACCTTCAAACTCACAATGTCAAACAAGGTCTCGTTGTCATGAGCAGAAGCATAATTAATCTGCAAACGGTTTAAGATGGTGATCACAGGGTACTTTAGAAGTATTAGAACGGACAAACAAGGGGAGAAGATTCAGGAAAGCATATTATAGGAATGACAAATAGAGCATTCAAGTGATGATATCATATAACACCACAAGAAGGAAAGCATATTATAGAAGAGAAGCGAAGTCGGTCTCCCTATCACATCATACTAATCAAACTGAAGAGAAATAAAATAAAATCAAATATATCACATCAAGAAAACATTACAATCCTTACTGTTTCTATTGGACTTAGAGCATATGCAACAGGAATCCCGTCGTAAGTACAAACTTCTGATCCTTTGACCTGAAAGAAAACAAAAAATTACATTAAATTAAAAAAAAAAAAAAAAGAAAAAAAAAAGGGAAAAGAGTCACCAGTTTAATACTAGGAGAAAGAAATCAGTCTGAAATTCGGAAGAAGTATTGATAGAGCTTTATTAGATTAAAACTAACCACCTTAGAATAGGTATAGGGATAGATAACAATGTAGCCAAATATTAGAACAAATCATTTTGAAACAAATTCTCTTGCTGATACAAACTATTTGATTGATTTCTGCTGTGTTGATGAAAGAAGTTTGTTGAGCAATCTATAATGGTTCTCCTCTTCTGTTATCTTGTGGATTGATTCTCAATTTCTAACCTCATGAGAGTTCAACATGGGCTTTAGAAGGATTTTTATTTCCAAATAAAGGTGCCCCTCCCAAATGAAAATTAAGGATTACATCAAAGTTTTACTCACTTTGCTAAATATGATAAGTCTGGGAACTTGGGGATAATTGACAACATTGTTTCATTATAAATAACTATAACCAAAAACCTCTAGAAGTGGTTTCAAGGAGGGAACTAATGTCCCTGCAGTAGCCTACCTATTCTTGGGCAACTAGCCTTTGCCAAGGGCTGTATTAGAAAGATAACGAATACAACAGTGGCTTAATGTCTCACTGCATCTGTTTACATAACAAACGTCCGGGTTTCAAGCATTGTGAGGCCTCCTAGTCTGGAAGAGATTATTAGTGCTCACCCAGCTGCTAGCTACTAACCAAAGAAGCACCTTCACTATATGAAGACTTAAACTTTCCAAATCAGTTAGTTTTGGAAAAGGAGCAGGAATTAGCTTTGCTTGAGACTAGAAAGTATAGGCCTTCTTCCTCTCTATCCTTCCCTCGGTTTATCTCTCCCATTCTCTTTCACAAAAGAAATAAAATAAAATATGTTTTTTTACAGATTTTTACTCCCACTTTGTACTAATCTGTGTGGGACAAGTACATGGACTTGCAATCTTCATCTCAGTTCAACAATCTTGAACCTGTTGATACCTACTCAAGCAAGCCAAGCTCATCCCCTGTTGGACTCAGCCAATCATGTAACCATGTGGAACCCATCCTAACTCATCCCAACATGTGACCTACCAAAGCACATCTCTATATGGGAACCCATACAAGAACGTCTCCACATAGGACCCACCCTACATTTCCAATTTGTGGTAGCTCTTATGAAATTTGTATCACCTTGGACCAGCATTGTACAATATTAATCATTTTGGGCTAAGCCCACGTGACTTTAAAATGTGTTGTACAAAGCCGGTTCAAAGCTAACTCTTATAAAGAACTTCACTCACATCACACTTCACCAAGCAATGCGGGATATGTACATGAACTTGCAACCTTGACCTCATCTCATCCATCTTGGCCCCAAGACTCAATCAGATATATTGGTTCTTGGCTCGGGCAAGGTTTCGAAAAGCAGTTATGGCCGCCGTAACGGTTGTAATGGCGCGGTTGCGGTTGCAATTGTGGAGTATAAATGTCGTAGCGTAACGATTGCAGTAACCAAAATCATAACTTTTTTTAATTTTTCGCACAATTTGAAAAAAACTTACCGATACACATTTTTTTAGAATCATATTTATTGGGATTTTAAATAGATTTTGATCAAATTTTGTTAGTTTTTAAGTATGATCCAATATATTTCATATTTTTAAATCACTATAAAAAAAGTTTTTTATATTTTATTTCAATAATTAATGACTTTAAGAATAGTGGAGTATAAAGGTCGTAGCGTAACGATTGCAGTAACCAAAATCATAACTTTTTTAATTTTTCGCACAATTTGAAAAAAACTTATCGATACACATTTTTTTAGAATCATATTTATTGGGATTTTAAATAGATTTTGATCAAATTTTGTTAGTTTTTAAGTATGATCCAATATATTTCATATTTTTAAATCACTATAAAAAAAGTTTTTTATATTTTATTTCAATAATTAATGACTTTAAGAATAATTGATTTTAAATGATTACAAAATTATTTTTGATCAACACATGAACTAAATAAATAAAAAATATTTACAATTATTAAATGAAATGATTATAAAAATAAAAAAATTATGCCATAAACAAAAATTATTTTTGAGCTATTTTTTTTTTTAAAGACATTTTTTAGACAACACTTTATAACTGACTATATAAAATTATTTACAATTAAGTATTAAATGAAATGATTATAAAAATAAAAATAAAAATAAAAATAAAAATTGTGCCATAAAACAAATTATTTTTGAGCTACTGATTTTATTTTATTTTTTAAAAGACATTTTAGAATAAACATTACAGTAACAAAATGAAAAAATATTTACAATTAAATATTAAATGAAATGATTATAAAATAAATACAATCACCGTTTATACCAATAAATCCCAAATAGTGATCTTATGAACTATTTTGTCCTCCCTTTTTTCTTATAGACCCAAGTCTCATTCTAATGTAAATTACATAAAGGGCCAAATACAAATACTTGTGTGCTATGTATTGAGGGACAAATGTGGATTTTCCCATAATGTTAAAATTACTATACGTAACACTTCAAAAGAACTCCTTAGTGTACCTTTCCCAAATGTAATACTCCAATGTAACACTTAAAAAATGTAACACTCCAATATAACACACTAAAGAACTTCTTAGTGTACTTTTTCCAAACATAACATTCCAATGCAACGCTTAAAAAATGTAACACACTAAAAAAACTTCTTAGTGTATTTTTTCTAAACATAACACTCCAATGTAACACACTAAAAAACTCTTTAGTATACTTTTTCAAACGTACTCCAATGTAGCATGTTAAAAAGCTCCTTTCGTATATTTTTTTCAAACGTAAAAAAAACTCCTTAGTATATTTTTTCAAGACATAACACCCCAATCAATATAACACTAAAAAACTCCTTAGTGTACCTTTTCCAAACATAACACCCCAATTAATGTAACACTAAAAAACTCCTTAATGCACTTCCAAATGTAACACTCCAATGAAACACACTAAAAAACTCCTTAGTGTATTTTTCTTAAACGTAACAATGTAACATTTCAAAAAACTCCTTAGTGTATTTTTTCCAAACGTAACACTCCAATCAATGTAACATATAAAAACTCATTAGTGTACTTTTTCCAAGCACAATACTCTAATGTAACACTCCAATGTAAAACCAGAAAACCACACTAACAGAAATGTAGATTTCCATGCTCGACACCCAACACTTCAGCCACCAATCCCTCCACAAAAGAATCTTCCATACCTCATCTTTCCATTCCTATCCCAAAAACTAATAAGAAAATTAGAAAAATGAATCAAAAAAGGACATTCACTTAAACTAAAATGGCATCAAATCAAATAAATGCAACTTTTCAAAACAAAAATGACTAATTGGTTCATAAAAAAACTCTTAAGACTAAATGGATCAACATTTTCCCATATGGGATTTATAGGTAAATTTTCCTTTGTATCAACAACAAAGGACTTTATTGATAAATCAAAAAAGTAAGCAATGATAAGGCATCCTCTTACAAAAGAAAAGGAGAAACAAAGCAAAACCTTAATAAGAAACTCTGAAGCAAGAGCCTATATATCACTCACCGCCAACTAATCTCTAGCTAACAAAAAAAGTGGGACCCCCTTAAATAGAGGATTCCCCGAAACCCCAAAAAAAGTTAAATGGCAAACACTATCCCACAAACAGTCTATCTCCCGGAACTTATCTTCAAACACCCTCGCATTTCTTTCCATCCATAGAACCCAAAAAGTTGCAACAACCGCAAAAGACCATAGCATTTTGGCTTTCTTCGATCCCCCGAAAAAGCGAAAGTCAACTTGGAGCATATGTGCACTCCCTTTTGGAGCTACCCACATAACATTCCCCAACAAAAAAAAAATAAAATTGTGCCATAAATTCAAAGCAATTGGGCAATACATAAATAAATGATCAACGGATTCCCCATTCTTACAGCACAAAATGCACCAATGAGGATTTAGAAAGCGATTAGGTCTCCGTTTATACAATATATCATTTGTCAAAATGCCTCCATGAACCAAGGCCCACATGAACACCTTCACCTTAAGAGGAACACAAGCCTTCCAAATTCTCTTGCAAAAAGGAAACTAAGGAACATGAGGAGTATTGATCAGTTTATCAAAAAAAGACTTACAAGAAAATATCCTAGATGAATGAAGAGTGTTAATCATATTGTTTAATTTTGATGATGCCTAAAAGATTATTTGAAAAATTCAGATTTTTTTTTTATACATATTCTATACTATTTGACACAAAATATTATCTGTTTAAAATATAGATTGTATGATATATTTGTAAAAAATATTATTTAAATGGAAATATTTTGAAAATATCACTATTCACTTTTGTATTATTTTGACAAAATTAATTGATTGGTTGGCTGGTCACAGTTCACTTTTTGACAAAATTAAAATTGATTAATTTTTTTTTTTTGACAAATGTGATATTAATGAATTATTCGTTTTTAATATACTCACATGGGATGATTGGTTATTTTTATTTTATTTGAGTATATTTATAATCTCTTCAACAATTACAAAACTTTTAAGAGGGATATATATATATATATATATATATGAGTGTGAATTGAATTTTATATTCAAAATTATGATGACTTGCTTGCAAAACTGGTCAAAGAAAAGGTGTAATGTTTGACAAAAAAAAAAAGTGGACAAAGAAAAGGTGTAAAAGTTGGACAAAGGAAAAGTGGACTAAGAAAAACAAAAAGGATATGCTGTCGAGGAGCATCTTCTCTTCCAATGGGTATATTTTTTTGTATAAATAGAAGTGTTGTGTATGGAGAAAAATCAAGAACTTGAAGAGAAAAAATTTCAGTGTGCTCCAAAATTATGAGTATAATGTATTCTGCTCTTTTACTTTCAGATTTAAGTATAGCCTTTGTTCTTATACTTTCATATCTACTCTTTGTGAGAGAATTATTGTAAAAAAAGGTTTAAGTACCACTTATTTTTATTCATTATTTTTGTGAGAGATTTTTGTAAGAGTGAGACATTAATTGTTGAGTGAGACTCAATAAATAAAAGTAAGTCTTGTGCCAAATCCACAAGTTTGGTGGTGTATTTATTCAGTTGATAGTAAAGAAATTCTCAAGGAAGTTCCTTGGGGAATGGACGTAGGCCTGGCGTGCACTATAAATCTCAGTGTTTGATTTCTCTCTCTATCTCTCTTACTTTTATATTGATAATTATTATTCTATTTTTTTTGTTTGTTAAAATTTTGAATATTGCGTTAATTTTAATATTGTAATTTTCTTTTAATAACCCAATTCACCTCCCTCTTGGGTTGCCTACCTGGCATAACAAAGAGCCCAAACCCTCTTGTCCTCCAAATGAGGAGCCAAAGAGAAATTATCGATTCTAGACAACAAAGACGCCAACTGTGAAGCCTCCCTATCATTAAGATTTTTAGAAAAATCAAAATTCCAAGAAATTGGAGCCAAAAATGAACAGGCTATGGAAGCAATAGAAGAAGTATGAGATTGAGCCACTCTATAGAGATGTGGAAAATCAAAAGCAAAAGACGATTGACCCATCCAAACATCTTCCCAAAAACGAACAAATTCTCCATTGCCCACCCTTAGAGAAAGATGACAAGACCAACATGTGTAGATATGAGAAATTGATTTCCCAAGGAGCACGACAATTACCACTCAGAAACACCCTTGAATCCTTACAATTGTCTTGAGTCCCATACTTGCTTCTAATAACCGAATGCTATAGTGAATCACTCTTAAGTGGAAATCTCCATAACCATTTTCCAAGAAGGGCCATGTTCCTAGCCAAAATGTTACCAATGGCAAAACCCCCCTTATCCTTAGGCAACGAAACTAAATCTCAATTCACTAAGTGATCCTTCTATCCCTCATCCTTGCCCTCCCAAAGAAAATCCCTCATCAACTTTTCTAATGCCCTTGCCACCTTAACCGGTATCTTGAACAAAGACAAGAAATAAATAGAAATACCACTCAAAGCCGTCTTAACCAAAGTGTATCTACCCCCGCGTGACAATAAAGCCTTACTCCACCCTTCCAACCTCTTACCAATCTTCTCCACAACTGGATTCCAAAAAACTTCACTTCTAGGATTACCCCCCCCAATGGAAGACCTAAATACTTAAACGGAAGTACCTCTATACCACATCCTAAAAGTGCCGCCCTATTCTAAAGTAGGTTTTGCTGCATATTAATGCTCACCACACTACTTTTCTCCAGATTAACTTGAAGCCCTGAGATTACCCCAAAAAGTGTCAAAATCGAATAAAGGTTAACTATCTGACCTTAATCCCCTGTAGCGAAAAATATGATATCATCCGCATATTGTAAATGTGTCACACTAACTCTATCCCCCCCCCCCACCTCCAATCTCGCAAGACCTACTTCTCTAGCTCTATCAACCATCCTTTCCAGTATGTCTGCCACCAAAATAAAAATAAAAAAATGAGATGGTGGATCCCCTTGCCGTAACCCTTGTAAAGCCCTGAAACACTCCCCTGATTTACCATTAACTAGAACAGACATATTGCACGTCGACAAACATCCCCTAATTCGAGATCTCCACCGCCTACCATAACCCTTCTTGTCCATTACAAAATCCAAAAACTGTCAATTCACATGGTCATATGCTTTCTCGAAATCCACCTTAAAAATAAGTCCCCCATTCCCTAGACTTCTATTTTCCTCTACTACTTCATTTGCCACTAAGGCTGCATCCAGGATTTGTCTTCCTTTCACAAAAGCCCCTTGCGCCATAGACACAGTCTCCCCCAATGAAATCCGTAGTCTCTTTGATAAAACCTTCCCCAAAATCTTATAAAGTGATGTGACCAAACTGATGGGCCTAAAATCTCCAATTCTTACAACATTCACCTTCTTAGGAATTAAACAAATGAATTCATACAAGGTTTTTTCTTTGGGTTTCGATCATTGAGTATTCGTTCTTTTTTTTTTTTTGGTAACTTTTGTAAGCTCTTCAGAATATTATAAAGATGTGTAATGGGCCATTACGGTACTGCTACAGCCATTATGTAACACCGAAACGGCCGTTATACATGTAAATTTCTGTCACATCGCAAAAAGCGGGTGTAACGAGTAGCACCTACTGCCGCAACCGTCATCGCTTTTTGAAACCTTGGGCTCAGGTTACCACCAAAACAAAATAAAATAAAATGTGAAAAGTAATATTCAAAAGGCGTATTAGATAACTTCAAACTTTATTTAGTGCCATGCTATGCTTTACCTCTTGTCCTTCGTAATTGGTTAGCACAAAGTCCCTTAAGTTTGCAGCCATCCCAACCTGGATTATTTGAGAAGTACTTCAGTTGTATATAGCTACTAGATGCAATAAAGAAAACATAATGTCCAGACCAAGAATGTAGAGGCCCAAACCCAATAAATAAAAAATGTTGGAAAAGGTGTAAAATCTAGGTCGTAAAACTAGTTATAACCATTACATGAGGAACAATAACAAACACATGACTGAATGGCTGAGACAGATGATCATGAAATTTTTTTCTTTTTCAATCAATTTTCGGTTGATTCACAAGATCATGACATACTTTTCTCAAACATTGTTTGCAGTTCATCAGACATCAACCTTTGTTCCCTAAACTTCAGATGTTCTAGCCATTGTTATGTGCACAGACAAATATTTATTTCTATTACACTTTCAGTTATGAATATTATGACATATATAGGTGAACGCATGTAGAAGTATCATATTATAACTTTAATTAACATGAATGAATACACATAACGCAAACTAAAAAAGAACCTTACTCCCAAGATTCCGACTACTTGAGCACAAATCAAATCACTTGTCTCTAGTCAACTTGATCCAAATTCATATATATACACACACACACATAATTTTTTGGTGGGGTAAATTACACTGACACCCCCTAAAATTTCTGTTTAATATAGATCCCTCACATTTGAAAAATTACACCTATCCTCCTGTCAGATTAAAATGACATAGTTGCGCCTTAACTTTTATACATATAAAATAATAAAATAATGTAGATATTTTGTTCATATCATTTCAAGGGAAAGAACAATCAACTTCTTTGGTTTAATTCACACAAAAAATTGAGTTTTTTTACTTTAATTGAATTTTTTAAATATTTTAAGCATTTTTTTTTTTAAATTTATTTTTTAGATACACCTAATCTAGATATACTTAAGAAGTATAATATTTTGTGATTTTTTTTTTTAAATTCACCAAATACAAAAAAAAAATATATATATATATACAAAAAATACAAAAAAAAATACAAAAATACAAAAATACAAAAATACAAAAATTCAATACATTACCTTATTTTGTTGTATTCAATTATTTTTTTTTAAGTTTTGAACAAATTTTACACTTTTTAAATATATCTAGATTAAATTGATCTAATCTAAATATAATGGTGGAAATAAAAATAAAAAATTATATTCATATATAAAAATTTATACAAAAAATATCATAAAAATGTTGTGATAATTGTATTGTTGTAAATATAAATTATGATTATGAGTGTTTTGCTTTAATGTGAAAGGTCACCATTAAACTATATCATTATGTTTGAAAATTTTATATAAAATTTATATTTGTATATCATCACTCAATAAGAATATACTTAGGAATATGCTTAGGTTGAATTTAATGATGGAAAATTGTAGAATGTAGTCATGACGATAGGAAGAAGAAATGGTAGGGAAAAGGGTATAGCATCAGCAATACAGAGGGCAATTTGTAATGAGATTACAAACTTTAGGGAGGGAAATGTAATTTTTCAAATGTGAGAGGGGATCTGTGTTAAACAAAAACCTCAGGGGGTGTCAGTGTAATTTAGCCTTGTTGGTAGGCTTAGAAAAGCAAAAGAAAACAATAACAATAACTTATAGCACAAACTGAAACTCCCCTCTCAATGAAACAATTACCAAAAGCAAAAAACAGGTTCCAGGAGCTATATATCATAAGAATTTACCTCATACACACTCTACAAATGCTCTTCCCCATTTGTGAGCAGCTACTATTTGCTCCGTCCATCTAGCTCATCACAGTGATTGAACTAAACAATTTCTTTAGTTCTCGTTCACATCTCAAACTAGACCAAAATCTACTCTCCTTTGACCCTAAACTCCCCATAGGTCTGCATCTTGTTCCACCATTCCCATTCAAAGTCAATGCTTCATCCCAAACCCCTATAATGGAAGGGGAATTACGTGTAAATCTTAATAAGTGACTTATTGTTCAATAAGTTCTATGACAATTAATAACATTTTTCATTAAGCATTATTAAAAAATGTCACTAATTATTAATTTTGCAACGACAATATGAAAATTGTCACAAAAAATGTCACTAATTATAAGTTTTAGTGATAGTTTAAAAAAATCGTCACAAAAAGTCGCTAATTTACAACTTTCAGCGACAATTAAAAAAATTCATCACAGAAAAATGTCACTAATTGTCAATTTTTAGCGACATGTAAAAAATCATCACAAAAAAATTATTTTTAGCGACGATTTTACTAGGACTTATTTTTAATAGGATTTTATGGGAATCAAATCCAACCATTAAGACCTATTAGTCATTTACCCCAAACTGAAACTGGAAGGACTTCGCTGAAGCCCTTAATTCTCTTTTTCAACCAAGCTGGGAATTAACCAGAGTTCCATTCGAACCACCTAACATCAATTCCTCTAAAATGCACCATGAGGAGCTCAGAGCATCCCCTTAGGGTAGAACCATTGATATAGGGTGCACTAATTGGAGAGATTTCTTATCATTTAGTCATTTTTTTCTTTGTTGGTGGACTTCTTGTCCCTTTCCTACTGTGTTTTTTTTTTTTTTTTTTTTTTTTTTTTTTTTTTTTTTTTTTTTTTTTTTTTTTGTAATAAAGTTTCGCCTTTGTTGCTGATCAAAAAAAAAGAAAAGATTCTCATCAACTTACACATACACTATCTAGCATTTATTTCCCAACAACAAAGTCTAAGCTGTCATTTTTTTTTTTTTCACTTTTTTTTACCTTTTTTTTTTTTCATAGGTAAAGTGCAATTGAAAAGCAAAGAAGAAGAATAAGAAATGCTAACTACTATCATTTTTAGCATATATGCCTCTCATCCAGTCATTCGTATGCTAACTTATTGCTCTACATATGTAATTGTTAATCACAGCAATACATCTCAATAACTTATCTCTAATGTATTCTCTTCTTAAATCCACCATTATCTCCTATGGGGCCTGAAATATATATATGTACAATATAACAGAATGCGAGGATACATCATTCTCAGACATGCACAACACAATCACGTGAGAATCTATGTCCACAGATTGGGAGGATTGGCAAGATCGACACCAGAGCAAAACCCTAATAAAATTATTCACACAAGTTGCACAGTACCAAAAACTTGTATGTGGAAGCCTGCTATCATTCTCATAACTTGTTTGAACAAGAAGTTGACCGAATAACAGGGTAACTTGTTTGAGCTAAAAGATCTCTGAATTCATTTTTACTTCTCTCCACAGCTAGTACACAAGGACATCTAGTACTCCAGATGCCGGCATATGAACAACTCAACCAAATCTATGGATAAGGTAGCAACTACTAACCAAAGTCAAAAACCATTTTACAACAATGAAAGAATGTTATAAACTCAACTATACATAAATAAACAAGATGCAACCTAAATACACTTCACCTACCACTGCTACCAACTGGACCTCTCCCACAACGCACTCAGTTAGAAGCAGTATTTCTTATGCCTTGATGAACAGCATAAACCAAAATATTTCCCCCATTTAAATCGCACCATTTTTATATAGGGTTTTAAGGACACTCCACTAGACTGGTATCTGAGCTGAAACAAGAGAAACTTCAGACAATTTAAAGTAGGAAGGTATGAAGACTGCCGACCTGAATGTGATCCTTTGATCCAGCAAGCATACGCTCTTCAACTGCTTTAGAACCATGGTCATGATCATTGGGCTGCCAAAGAAGCATAAGCAAATTCATTGATTAAATATGATCATACAATTAACTGTAATCCAAAAAAAAAAAAAAACGAGAAAGAAAGCAGCCATCCAACAATCTTTTATTTATATTCTGTAACAAACCAACTACAAATTTTGACACTGTTCACACCTAGAGCAACCAAAATTTTATGTAGGTGGCCAAATTCATTGGTCTTCGTTTCAACAAAGATGTGGGTTCTAAAACACAACATAAATTATACATTAACAAAATTGTAGGAAGTGTAGAGCAATGAACAAAATTGAATTGACAACTAAGAATCATGGACACGCAACCCAACACAAACACGTTAACACAACAAATTTCAAAAGGGTAGATTACGAATACACCCCCTAAGGTTTACTGTAAATAGTCTTCCATTAAATGGATCGTCAGCTATTGTGATCTACTCTATTTGCTTCTTCTAAGGGTCTTCCATTCTTGTCTTTTATCTTCCATTGAAATCTCTTAGGTACTCATTTGTTATTTTGTTATATGTATTTGGGTGGATCTGTGGATCAATGGAAAATATTCAAGAGGCAGAGGGCTGCTTTGGCATATCAATTTAATATCATCAGCTGAGAGCTTTGATGAATTCAAGCATTAACATCATATATAAAGTCCATCGTGTATAAGCTTTGACAAATCCAAGCATGGGATTAACACTGTTTTGGTGTTTGAGACAGAGAAGGCTGAGTCTGACCATAGTGGTTTAATGTGGTACAAAAAAGTACCCAAACAAGATACTCTTCCTTCAGTAGAAATTCCCTGTTATGCACATCAACTGCAGCCACATTTAAATGTGAATAAGACACCCATTTGGCAGGCCTCCTGTGAACCAAAACGTTATCAAAATAGGACACCACACAATGCATGAGACTTGCCCAAGTAAAGTTTTTACAGAAAGATTCTCCAAGTTGTCCCATGAACTCTTTCCTCTCTTTGGGTGATAAACCTTCAAGTTGTCCCAAAAGTTCTAACATCTCGTTTAATGATATTCCCCGTTCCAAATCTCTCTAATAGTCTTCTCTCTGTTAGTAGCCCTACCAAGCAACCAAGTTTTAGTCTAATATTCTTTGCAACACATTGTGTTTTTCTGGATCTTGCCATGGGCAAGATAATTGATATTGTAAGGAAAGAGCGAGCCTTTACTTTATCAAAACAACATTTTTCTTTTTCTATCAAATAATATGTTGATGATGAAATTTCTTGAAATCTTTGCCAATCAAAAGAATAAGGCTCTTCTAAAACATCAAAAATTTTATCTTGATTTATTAGCCATGGAAAAACATGGCTTGGTTTAACCACTTCCTATAATATCATGTGGTCTTCAAATGACTTTCATCAACTTCATCTTCGTCTCAAGTCAAATGTGTTGGAAGTAACCTTCATTAACCACAAATTAATCCTTACTTGCAGTGCCACTTTTCATCATCAAAATCTTTCAAATAAGCTGCTATACCATCAAAGACTTGTCCAGAAAGGTTGTCCTTCCAAGCCTTTGTAGGTTTAGAGAAGAGAAAGAGTTAGGGAATGAGGTAGACTTCATCCTCTTTTATATTGATAATACTAAGTAATTACAGGAGTGCCATAAGGCATAATTTATGGGTCAGCTCATTACACCAATCATGGGAATAAAATAAGAATAAAATACAATCAATATTATTTCCTATTCTAACACTCCCCCTCAAGCTGATGCGAATATATTTCTTATGCCCAGCTTGTTGAGAATGCCATGAAATAGTTTGCTCCCTAGTCCCTTGGTAAGAACATCAACTAGTTGGTCCCCAGTATTCACAAATGGAAGACATATAGTGCCACTAGTGAGTTTTTCCTTAATAAAGTACCAATCAATCTCCACATGCTTAGTTCTATCATGTTGAACTAGATTATAAGCTATGTTGATTGCGGCCTTGTTGTCACAGTATAGTCTTATGGAGTCAGTCTGATGGATTCTCAAGTCTCCCAACAATAGTTTAATTCATAGCAACTCACATACACCCTGAGCCATAACCCTTAATTCTGCCTCAGCACTAAATCTAGCAACTACATTCTGTTTCTTACTTCGCCACGTGACTAGGTTGCCATCAACAAATGTGCAGTATCCGGAAGTTGATCGTCTATTAGTAACTAATCTAACCCAATCTGCATCAGTAAATGCCTCCACATTGAGATGGCCATGTATTGAGAAATAGAGACTTTTCCCAAGAGAAGATTTCAAGTATCTCAGGATTCTCATAACTGCCTCTAAGTGGGAAGTTCTAGGAGCATGCATAAACTGGCTAACCATGCTCACGACAATGGCAATGTCTAGATGTGAGTGCAATAAGTATATAAGCTTGCCCACTAGTCTCAAGTATCTCTCCCTATCCACAAGCTCTCCCTTTTCATCCTCACTTAGTTTCTGACCTGGTTCTAGAGGTGTATCGCATGGTCTACCGCCAAGCAGTCCAGTTTCCTTTAGCGAGCCAAGTACATACTTTCTCTAACATATGAAGATGCCATCCTTGCTCCTAATTATTTCAATACCCAAGAAATACTTTAAACACTACCCAAATCTTTGATTTCAAACTCCTTGGCTAAGTATTCCTTCAACTTAGGGATCTCCTCAACGTCATCCCCTGTCAAAACAATATCATCAATATAAATAATTAGAGCTGTGGTCTTACCTCGTAAGGAGTGTTTTACAAATAAGGTGTGATCAGCTTGGCTCTACTTGAACCCATATTTCAACATAGCTCGAGCAAACCTTTCAAACTAAGCCCTAGGAGACTACTTTAGTGCGTTAAGTGACTTTCAGAGCCTGCATACTTTACCTTTGGACTTAGCATCTGTAAAACCAGGGGGAATATCCATATAGACCTCTTATGCTAGGTCTCCATGAAGAAAGACATTCTTCACATCAAACTGATGTAGTGGCCAATTCAAATTTGTAGCAAGAGAAAATAAGATTCTCATAGAGTTCATTTTAGCAACCGGTGCAAATATCTCCTGGTAATCTACCCCATAAGTCTGAGTGAAACCTTTAGCAACCAATTTTGTTTTGTACCGTTCTATGGAACTATCTGCTTTGTGTTTTACCATGTACATCCACTTACACCCAACTGGATGTTTGCCTCTAGGTAACTCTACTAACTCCTAAGTACCACTCTTGCTGAGAGCTCTCATCTCTTCCATCATGGCATGCTTCCATTCAGGAATAGAGAGAGCATCCCGAAAAACTGATAGGTAGACTCATAGAAGACACTTTAGACAAAAAAGCTTTATATGACGAAGACAGATTAGCATAAGAGACATAATTAGTAATAGGATGCTGAGTAAATGACCTAACTCCCTTCCTATTAGCGATGGGAACATCAAAATCTGAAAAATCAGGAATATGAGCACTAGGATCAAAATTACTGGGACTCTCAGGAGAGAGGATTGAATCTGAACACTCATCAGGAGAAGAAGTTGGCGGTAAAGGAGGGAAAGTAGGCTCTTGCATCCAAGTGTCTTGCTGTCTATCCTGGTCTCTGACATAAACATTGCCTACTTTTTCCTTAACAACTGCTGGCTCATCATCCTCTATCTATTCACTATGTTACACGGACTCGGGTACGGGTATCGGGTGCGGGTGTGTATCTAGGGGTCGGACACTTCAAAATTAAAAATTAAGGATACGTGGATATGAATCCAAATTTGAATACGGATACGAGGATACGTTAGATAGTTTTTTTTTTTTAAATATATTTATTTTATGAAGATGAGTTTTAAAAAAATAAGGAATAAATAACAGATTCTGTTAAATAAAACAAAGAAAATATAAATTATTTTAGATATAAATAAATTATATTATATATGATAAAATAAGTTATTTTTATTTTAATAAATATGTTAGCCAAATACAAAACACTAAAAAACTAAATAGGCCCAAACTTATTTTATTTAGGCCCAAAAAATTAAATAAGCTAGAATAAAATATTATAGGCCCAGACGAAATAAGGCAAATACAAAATACTAAATAGGCCCAAACTTTTATTTGATTTATTTGGGTCTAGCCCATTAGCCAAACCTAGCAAATGCTCTCCAACTATATATAGCCAGTCAAACTCTCTCTTTTCTCTCACCCTTTTTCTCCTCTTTCCTCTCTCTGAAATACGCACAGCAGAGTTCAAAAAAAAAAAGAAAGAAAGAAATACGCACAGCACCATTGAAGCTCTCTTCTCTTTCTTCTCCTTCCCACTTGGTGATTATGACTCTCTCTCTCTCTCTCTCTCTCTCTCTCGGTTCTAACTCTAGATGACGTGGTTATTGTAGCCGACATTCACTCGTCGATAAAGCTATGATCCAACGAATCCAGATCTCGAACCCAACAAATTCATGTAAGTATCTCAATCTTCTTCTTCCTTTTCGATTAGCCGTGTCCGAGAGAGAGGAGGTGAATCTGACACAGATCCCATACCCGCACCCATGTCGTGTCGTGTCGTGTTGTGTCGACACGGGTACTTCACCTTCAATTGCCGAGTCAACACAATCTGTTCAACCACTGGCGGAAGTGAAACAAGAATCTCTTCACTCCAAGGCTCCTCCTGAAGGGATGACTGGAATACCGCAGAGGCCGAAAAGTAAGGCTGAGACTCAAAGAAAGTGACATCCATGGAAACAAATCATTTGCGAGTGGGAGGATGATAACACTCATAACCCTTTTTGGTGGCAGAATAACCCATAAAAACACACTTAAGGGACCTAGGACCCAATTTACCACGAGTGGGTGACTAATTATGAACAAAGCAAATACGGGCCAAAGGTCTTAGGAGAAATAGAGAACCTGGAAGAGGTTGACCCGAACAAAACTTGAAGAGGTATTTGTTTTTGAAGGACTTGGGTAGGAAGATGATTAATCACATAAGCGGCAATAAGAACCGCGTCCCCCAATAGGATTGAGGAACCCGCATCTCAAAGGATAGACAACGGGCGACAATCAAGGAGATGGC